CCCCAAAACCCCAAAACCCCAAAACCCCAAAACCCCAAGATGATCACTAGTTATTGATTAATATATTAAATTTACAAATGAGCCAAGAAGAAGACAAATCTAGCTCGATTTATATGAGCTCGAGGGACTCGTATGATTTTTATAGTGAGAAAGATTCTGAGTGGCTCCAAAGAATGGATTCTGATAATAGCCTAAATGATCGAGAGGACACAACTGAAAGTTATCATCATGGAGGGATGAGTGATGATAAATTTGAGCAAATTCGACAACAAATGCACTCACAAATGAAATCCAATCCAGAGTAAGCAAAACCCCTTTTCGCATAGTCCCTTCTCTCCTAATTATTTTCTGACTGAAATCTTTTAGGGAGCAGTCTTCATTCTCAGATTCTCGTCAATTTTCAAGGGCAGTATCGCATTTACCTGACACACCAAGCCATGATCAATGCTCTCGACCCCCTACTGTGCCTAGTTTGTCCTCTCTTGATCCAGAAGAGAAGAAAAAGAACTTGATATTACAATTTGAGCTAAAGAGCAGAATGAAGGATATTTCTCAAAAGATGTCTAAATAAAGCTGCAACTGTTCAGGAAAAAGTTGATCGTGAACACAGAATGAAACAAAGATAACCAAGCGGCTTTGGACCTTCTCAATAGGTAATTTTTTTAATTTCCAGAAACTTTCAGATGGATTATGCCTCTTTTTACTAGCTTATACAACTTGGCTTACTCTCTGCTTTAGAAACCGCAAGAAGATAGAAATAGTTGAGGATTATTCTATTGAAGAAGTTAATGAATCCAACATAAGGTATTAAATCCTCCCTCCTCATCATGAATAGCTCGAGTAATTCTCCAGAACCGAAGCGAAGGCTGGAGTTAGAATTTGAGCATGCACAGAATGAAGACCACGAAAGTTCACAAGATGTGCCTCTGCTGAACCTTAATAAAGTTGCAACTGCCCATTTCTCACCGAAGGAAATCAGTAATATAGACATAAAAGACTCTCTAAATTGCACTAGTTCAGAAGCTGAGGAAGCACATTACAGACAAACTTTCGGGATAGAAGATGGTAAACCCTTAATCTCATTGTTAGAGTCTTATGTAAAGTCAGATTCAAAGGGACCAAAGTCATGAAATCCTTTTGTAAAGAACTACAAAGAAATTGCTGAAATGAATGACCAGAAGACGAATCCCAAAATTGTAGATCTCGTGAATGCAGAAAGTCCCAAAAAGTACAGAGTCAACAGTACATTTTCATTTATCTGTTAGCTGATAATTCAATAAATCTGACTGAGAAGGATGATGATGAATCAGACCACATCATGAAGCCTATGTCAAAGACTCTAAAGGGAGAAGACCTCAATATGATGAGTCCTCACAAGAAGAGCCCCGAGTCACCAAGAAAGAGCCATAGGAGCTCGAAGAAGAGCCGTAAATCTTCTAAAAGGAAAGAAATAGCAAAAGGAGCTAGGAAGACCTCCATCGCTGAAACTTCAGATGAAGAGTAAGCCTTGCGAGCCAATATGTAGATCAGAGGAAAGTGAGGACGAAGATGAAGCTGAAGAGAGCGAGGAGGAATCAGAAGAAGATAGTAATACTTCTATAGCTAACCCTTTATAGGCTCAGTATCTCAAACTAACACAAGTATTTCCATTACTCTTAGCTTTTCTAGCTGAAACAGAGACGGAAACAGAAACTGTAACCGAATCTGAACAGACAGAAACTTCTGAAGCAACTTCAGTTCACCCTTACGAGGAAGAAAAGGTAAATTATCTTTTCTAATTTTTTCCTGAGCAATGTAAATTCTGTAAAACCACTGTTGGAATTACCCATTATTCTAGAACAACTTTGGAAAAGCTATTCCATTTGACAAAAGCATTAAGCTGAAAGATTATGAGATGAAAGCTCAGAGTGATTCGAAATTAAAAATGGTAATTTTCCTTAATTTCTCACATAAAATTTCTTAAGAATGATCCGGTTCAAAAGAAGAGAGATATTTCCAAGACTTCTCCTAAATGCAAGAAACAGACATCTCCTAAAAAGCAGGTATGCTAATTTGATTCCTTTATGAATCAGCCTACATGAATTTTAGGAAATTTATATCTTTGGCTAAGCGTGCATTCTTAAGAATCTGGTCTGTTCTTAGCATTAATTTAGGCAAGCCCGCATATACAGAAGTGATTTCAGAGGAAAAGTCCGCAAAAGCGATACCAACAGAGTCTAAAGAAGAGCCCGGCCAAGGCTAGGCCGCCTTGAAGGACCAAGATAGCTAATTTATACAAGAATATAGAGGAAACTAAAGCTGAGAAGTCCTCACCAAGGTAAAACATTTAAGAGAGTCTGATCGAAAAACATTAGAATCTTCCTCAGCCAATTTCTGGATAGATTTTGTTAAATTTTGGCTACAAATATGAGGCGAAAAGTTTAAACCTATTTGGATCCTTATTGTTCTTTTAGCCCTTGACGGAAGAAGAAAATTGAAAGGGAATCTAATAAGCCATTGGTGGTGAAATTCTTACAGAAAATAGTAGAAAATACTGATAAAAACATCGAAATCTGCCCTTCTTTGCTTGAAGGAGATTCATTGGGTTTATCAATGGAAGAACTTGAAATGAACGCTAACAAGTAATTTTCTTTATAATTTTAGATATGTTATCATGTGCATCAAATTTACAGACGAAAAAGTTAAGGTCCTCGGCCTTTATTGGCATAACGGGGATGGAAGGACAGGAAAATTATACGGAGAGAGCACTCTTCCAGCCCAAATTCGTGCAACCATGGTTGATAAATTCTTCAAAATAGACCCAATCCGGAAGAAAGTTAAATGTATTCAAGGTACTAAGCTTTTCAGCCCTCATGTAGATGCAGTCTGTATATTGCCTAATTTGGGAAAGAAAGTCATCTTATCCAAACATAAATAACCCCAAGTCAATTAAAATATTAAAGATTGGGGTTTTGGGGTTTTGGGGTTTTGGGGTTTTGGGG